TTCAGTTCCTCATCTCAATATTCAGGGGTTATGCATTTCGTGAGCAGTGAGGGTAAACTGCTCTCTGAAGAGGAAGATCTTAAGAGCATAAATGGGCTTTGCCATCCATATGACTTGGTGGAAGGCCCCAGGTGCCCTGATGATCTTTACACCTCCCTCTGGAATTTCCCCCAAGAAGGTGTATGACAGGACAATGAGTTACGTGTAATCGTCCCTGAGGTGAACTAGAATTTTTATGAGATCAAAATAAATAAACGTTTTGCGGGACCCCTAAACATCATCCAGCTTTCTTCAAATTTTATACAAAGCTTCACTAGTGTACTTGAAGTGCAACGAGGGCACCATGTGCTTGCTTGATTCAGACAACTTTCAAATTTTCACCCTATAATTTGGACCACCCTAATAGGCTTCCTTGATGATCTATCGTCGCAGCTGGAAGTTCACTTCCATCATTTCAAGATGATCTTGCTAAGAAGGTGTGTTCACAAGTGCAAAGAAAGCGAGTATTGTTCAACTTTTTCGGTCTTATACAAAGCACTCTACTGTATTTGGCACAGCGACTGCCGAGGATATAGCTAAATTAGGAGACCATATGGCTATTGTTAATCAAACCATACAAAATCGCGTTATAACAAACTTTCCATGCAATTAATTCTTTTGAGTCAAAGGTTAACGTTATTATTTCTGAGTCTAATCATTTATCAAAAATTTTGTATAATTTAATGAATTCGGTGCCTACACTGGAATGGCTCATTTCGTTTTCCGAGTATTTACATGCTGCGGAAACTTCAGCTCAAGCTTTATTTAATAACAAAAACGAACTAATTGCAAATATTATAGGTGCAAGGTTAGGACGTGTGGATGCACAGCTTGTGCCTGTGAAGATTCTTCTTGTAGCCTTACAAATAGCCAAGACGCGTTATCATTTAACTCATTTATTTCCTTCTGTTAGAGTCAACTCTCACGCACAATGCTATCCTCATCCACATACCTATGCTAGCGCAACGCAAATTTAATGCATGGCATTTAGAACCTTTACCTTTGTATTCTAATGATACACTGTTTACTTGTGATAAATCAACTGAAATTTTGCTAATGATGAAGATTACTCTTTGTTAGCAGTGAATGATCCTCGGCTATTATCATGGTGTAAGTCGTCATATTTACATTTACATGTATGTCCAACCTATGTATTCACGTTTATTCACAAACTTTTGGAAAGGAACTCCTTCGTCCCACGTGTGCAATCAACCATGAGGAACGATGATCTCACACCTGGACTTGGCTATTCTAATCACATTTTACCACCATGACCCGTAATATGCTTCACATATATGCTCAGAATACACCCATACTTTAAGGTGTTACAGCCTTTCACTAACCTTGAAGAGGAACCCCTACGTCCCACGTGTGCAATCAACCATGAGGAGCGTTGACTTCACACCTGAACTTGGTTAATTCAATCACATACACCCAATACTGTGGAAATGAATGTCTCTATGTAACCACTAGACTCATGGTCTCAGTGTGTGACCTTTCATTCACTCAGTCTGCACTCAGTTTACTCTCAGTACTTCATGGACAGGAAGAGGGTGACTGTCAGCCCGCCTAGTTAGGCCAGTCCAGAGTACAACCAGGTGAACCCTGCCCAGCTGAGGGAGGGGTTCTACTTTCCCGTTAGTAAGATTTTTCACTGACTGACTGAAGAGATGTGGTGTTGTACGAACCAAGGTGGGGAGATTTGATGAACCAGATCGACCACCGACCAAAGTGCGGATGCTGGTCCCACATAGTCGTCAGAGACACCCGTTCACCTCGTGCTTACCAGCTATACGACCACTAAACACCGACCAATCACCGGCCGACTGAGTGGGTTCTCAGAACCCTGCAAAAGGAACACTCTGTTAGCTACTGTTAAATTCTTCTCCCCCCTATCTGTCTGAGATCGAATAAAAACTTACTTGCAACACTGATGTAACATGCGCGGGAAGGGACGCTGAAGGAGGTAGATGTGCAGGAGCTTCGTTAGAGAAGATGTTGCCTGTTGCTGGCCTCCTGGTTGAATGAAAACTGGACAGCGAGGAGCTTGCTTGGAGGAGGTGTTGCGTGTTCAGGAACGTAGAGTAGAATGAATCTCAATGGAGAGACAGAGCTTATATACCGTGGGAAGTCGCCGGTTTCTTGACTCCGTTGCTAGGGAAGACGTGGCTGGTTGCTAGGATACTGTGGCATCTGGTGACGCAGTTGTAGGGGAGACGTCCACTACAATACTTATACACTGTGATATGTCGGGAAGGTTGGTAAGAGTATCCTCATAACCCCCCCCCCCTCCACTAGGTGTTGCCATATGGCTGATAATCAGTGTGTTTGTTTCCTCTTTTCGGATTGTTGCTTTGTGTCGACTGAATGATGAGCGAGGGTTCGGTCTCGGTGAACGTGGGTATAAAACAGAGGCAATATGAAGCAGTAGAGATCTACACATGCCAGACGACATGGAAACCTCAGAGGGAACACGAGGAGCTATTATTGCCCTTCATAATGAAGGGTTCGGCGTCACAGATATTAGCCGGCGGGTTGGTGTCCACTGGAACACCGCTGCACGATGAATTCGGCGATACCTCGAAACTGGTGCTACAGACGACAGGTCTCGGAGCGGCCGTCCACGCTGCACCACCCCTCAGGACAACCAGGTTGAGTGGTTTATTTGGGAGCATAAATTAATGTGGCAATATTCACAAGTATCACAAATAATTTTGTTAACAGGGAGCTCCTCATATTTCATACTGTCTGTTTATCACTTCCCGACATTATTTATAACGGTTTGTTTCACTTGACCAAGGCTGCCAACACACGGCTGGAACAACTCGCCTTTCCCAATACCTATCGTCACTGGTCTCAAATTGTTCACACTACAGTATGCACCGATACTTTTTGTTGCAAGTGTACATTTAGTTTTATATAGGCCTTGTTCAAAATGCTTCCACCTTCCGCTTGATGGCGTTGCTTGAGCCTAGTTTTACTCGCCATTAGGCGTGGGTGTTTTCAGCCTGGCCTTCTTATGCTTTTCCTGGTTCGGGAAAATCGGTTATTTCTGTTCTAACGTTTCTAAATATCACACCCATTCGGGTGGTTGGTCTATCCAGTTTTAGGACTGGAGGAAACTGGGGACAAGGAAACCTGTAATTTTGGTAGGGTTACACTGGATAACACCCTTCTCAAGTGTGTCCGGGCTGATGCTCAAACCCGTGATATATTAGAGAGTTACACTCGTTATCGCATTATTTTCATTATAAATACTATCATGGAATAGTATAATATACCGTATGCTGTTAAAAAGAAGACAATAAAAATATACTTATTGAGGAATTATAATTATGTAGTAATTAATATATCATCTATGTAAAAAAAATAGTATCTTGCATGGTAGCACGACGATCATCATGCATTGTATTATGGCTGGGTAATTTATAGGGGTTGCTTAACAACCACACCCCATAGAAAAACTTGTGCCCCCTCAAACTTTGTGGTTGTCCCCCGAAGTGTATAAAACTGGCTACGGGTCTGCGTATATAATGTTTGTTTACAGTCTCTCCGAAAAAATCATTAGATTTTCCATTGCTTCAAATCTAAAAGTTAGACAAAATGCTTTGATATGATCCCCAGTGCATCATCATACATGATGCAAGGCGTACGTAAACAAGCCACTAACTGGTGATTACAATAACACTGAAATATGGTCATGGTCAAAAGTAATCATTCACTCCATCACCTAACTCCTGCACCTGGTCTTATCAACCCTAATGACCCATCACCTGCCAAAAGCTCACTTGTATTCCTCCCCAGAAACTCAAGTAAAGTCATAGAGAACCAAGGGAAAGTTAAGTCCAAATGACACCTCCCCGGACAGACCCTCCTGATTGATTGGTTGTTTCGACGTTAGGCCAGGGTCATTAAGGCCACCAACGTCACACTACATCAACCAACCTTAACACCTTCTTCAGATGTTAAAGAAAATTCTAAGACCACATACACTCTCACTACATATGCGGCCCTTAACTTGCACCCCCCTACCTTACCTGGGTCCACCACCACTAGCTCTCACCCCACCAATACCTCACCAACCTCTTGTGACCCGTCGTGTAAAAAGGCCTCGAGCTCACAGGTATGGCAGTAGGAGGGGTGGATGATTACTTTTGACCGTGACTGTACATTGAATGGAAATGTTTCAGAACATTATAACCAAAACCGAGACCTCAAAACGGACATTTCACCATTACGTCATTGCAATAACGGAGTTTCATTTATATGGAGTTTTACAATATGCCTACTCTTGTTGTTCCTGATATATCTGATTTATGAAGAGTGACTAAGCAAATTGTACTTGATATTAGAGTTAACAGCCACAACAATATACAATATAACAGTCAACATGGGATATGCTATGTTACTGATATGTAAGTTGCATTGGTTTAACACTGAAATGAGATTTCATATCAAGGGACTTGTAGGAACCTATAGTAAGATATTTGTGGTTGTATGTTTCAGTGTGGCAGCAGTTGTTTCATGGCATTTAACTCATCATGATACTGTTGGTTCGCTCACTTCAGTTCGCTGTGATATCTCAGCGATACATATACCCTTCTTGTGAAGAGCAGCAATAGCTTTGACTCCCTAATAATTTCCCGCTCCATTCAATGTAACATCCCTTTGATGACTGGCATGGCATTGGTGTTCATTTACACATCCACTCTGATTTTTGTAATGTATGATCTGATGCCTCGAAGGAATTACATTGTTCAAAAAGGTATATGCTCATTCATGGTCAATGGTTGCAAATATAGAACTACCAACCGTTCAGAAACAGGTCGAGAAACATTGCTCGGAAAGCCTTGAATCATATTGACCCCATGGCTAATGATACTTTTGGGGGGAACTGTACATCAGTTAAATATTTTCGACAAAATGAAGGTTTAAATAAACATAAAAAAATAACTTGCCAGATTTATAAGCTGTATAAGGACTGGGAACAACAGGCAGCATGATGACAACTGTGTTACAGCACGTGCACCTTCGTCTGGTGTTTTCATGTGTGGTGCTGCTCCTACTTGGCTATGCCGCAGTAACCCATTGGCTCATCCAGAAAGCCATCACCAGCACCCACCCTGACGACGAAAATGGACTCTTGCTGCAGCAAAGGTAAGACTTAGAAGAGTAGGTGGCACTGACACAGGATAAATTTATGGGAGTAGCTGGCACAGTAATAAGGTGGTAGAATTGGTTGCATTGTAAAATACTGTAGTTAAGATCATAGGGTCTGGCACTGTAGCATAGGTAAGATGGCAAGGCTGGTGGCAGAGGCACTGTAACATAGGTAATAGGTAAGATTACAAGGTTAGTGGCACTGTAACAGGTAAAATGACAGGGTTGGTGGCACTGTAACACTTCGGGGCATATCCATAAACCCAGATCGCACGATGATACAGAGGGAACAGCACAAAGAACTGCTGAAGTGCTTGATGCAGAAGAGGGAGAAATCTGCGAAAAACAAGAACGGGAATGAAATGGAGGCAAGTGCACCCGGACAGAACCAGGGGACAGCGAGATATCCCACCCAGGAGGAGGCGAACACCATGTAAACAATGTCATCTCCAGCCACACCCAGCGAAATGTGATAAGTGTAGTAAACGAGGTAGCTGCTGAGAATGGAAGGAGGCCGGAGACACTACCAAGATCAAAGACGTTAACAAGGACTACTTCCGGCTTGAAAGTCATGTACACTAATTCTGACACATTCCTTAATAAGAGAGCGGAATTTGAAACTCGATATACTGTAGTAGGTGTTGTAGAATTGTTGTATAAGAACAGGAGAATCAACCCGGAAGAATGTGAGTTCAATATAGATGAATATGACGCATTTATGAACCTTTCTCAGGTAAATTGCAAGAGCGGTGTTGTTATCTATGCTAGGCAAGACCTTAGAGCCAGCCAGGTGAGGGTGCAGGGGGAAGATCTTAACTTTGATGACATCGACTGGAGAAATGAAACCACGCCAAATGACCTAGATTATCTAGCCATTCTTTTTATAGAAACTCTGAGAGACAATTTTCTATTCCAACATGTTAAAAAGCCGACTCACTACAGAGGGGAACAAACACCCAAACCACTAGACCTCATCATAATTAACGAGGAGGATATGGTGGCCAAGTTGGAACATCTAGTCCCCGTTGGCACCAGTCATCATGTAACGCTGTCCTTGGTTCGTGATAAATGTAGGCCGAGGTTCAAATATTACAAGGGTAATTACGACGGGATGAGGGAAGAGATGAGAGGTACTCAATGGCCTGACTTAGTGAGAAACAAAAAGGCAGATATTACGCTGAATATCATAGACAGTGAAGTGAACTACTTGATTGATAAATAAAGCGAAGTGCAAAAGAGATTACATCGCCCAATAGGAAAGCATGTGGAGTACATTTAAGGGCGTAAGTGCCTGAAGGGACCAATGATTTTATCGGGAAGTTACTTAATTATAGTGACAGGATGAGTGTGTGGGGAGAGAATTCCCAATACAGTGCATCTGTTTATGGCAAGGCATGGCAAGTCCCTAATAAGTCAAGTACCAGGCCTGTCTGAAGGAGGAAGGATATATGGTCAGGAGGAAGGGGTTTGGTAGGTTAGGCACGGTGGGGATGGAGGGAGGCACATAGAAGCCACAAGTCCAGAAAATTGTGAGGGCAGACATTTTTGGAGTGCGAATTGTAAACTCTTCGAATATTTAATAGAATCTAGAGTGTTGTAACAGAACCGAGTGTGAGCTCTCTTAAAACCAGACTTGACCAATACTGCACCTGGGTCATACCAATGGTAAGATGATGTTTCATATGTCCCAACAGGACGAAGAAACTGCATTAATAGAGACTGAATGTGAAAAGGACCTAGGTGTGAATGTTGACAATGACCTGAAGTTCTTGGGCCACTGTGAGAAGAAGGCGAATCAAGCAACTAAATTATTAGGTAAGGTGCTTCCCAGCCTGGAATACTCTCACCCTGTCTGGTCCCCGAGATATGCTAGGGCTTGCCAGTTAACTGAAAATGTCCAAAAGAGGGTCACCAGAATGGTGCCTGCACTTCAGTACCTCAGCTATCCAGAGAGATTAGAGCGCCTGCAACTGCCTAGCTTATACTACAGGCAGGCAAGGGGTGACCTAATTGATGCATCTAAACTACTCAAAGGGCAATACTCATTCAAGTTTCGTCCATACCAGGAGCTGGCAGACTCCCGCCCCACAATGGATCACAGCTCAAGGGTGAAGAAGCTGCAAGTCCAGAAAACTGTGAGGGCGAACTTTTCGGAGTGGGAATTGTAAGCTTTTGGAATAAACTGTCAGAGAGTGTTGTGATGGCACCGAGTGTGAGCTGTTTCAAGACCAGACTTGACCAACACTGGAGCAGGTTCAGATACATTCAGAAGTCAGAACTTGTCCATCACTTGCCAATAGTGTGTAACATAGACGTGACCGACAGCCCTCGTGGCTGACGAGCCGATCAGTGGCAAAGAGGATAAAAGTAAGATGACAAGGTTGGTGACACTGTAACCGGTAAGATGACAGGATTGGTGGCACTGGAACATGTAAGATAACAGGGTTGGTGACCATGACACCACATTACTGGTAAGACCAGCTGATAGACAGCACTGTAAAGGAGAGGTGAATTATATATTGTAGTATTGTGTTAACTCTAGGTAGAATATAGCTAATGGGAGGAAACAGAAAATTAGCTGTTATGTTTGGTAAGCACATTTCGGCATTGACATTTTTAAATTAAGGTTATTAACACAACTTATTCTTCTATTAATATATTCAAGATTACAATTTATGATAATCAGTCCTGTAATCACAATGAATTTAATATTGTCTAATCGTTACAGCACTGTACTGTACAAGACATATAAGTTCAATTGACTCATTGTCAGACTGGATGCGACATCTCACGAAGATGGCTACATTGTGAACCAGCAGAACAATGGTGTTCTCTTCTTCAATCGTGTTCCAAAGTGTGGTAGTGAGATGCTGGTGTTGCTCCTCCAGTGGCTACAGGGACAAAACACCTTCAGACATGTCAGGCTCAGGAACACCATCAAGAGGTACCTGACATATAATGAGCAGGTAGGGAAAGGGCACCTTCACCCATGTAACTTTCTCCAAAAAGTATCTTTATGGAGGGATTCGATGAAATTCAAAATAAACACTGTGACTCCTGTTGTCTTGGTAGTGTTGTCAAAATCCTCCTTTTACACTGTACTGTGTCACATTGTCTCACACAAAATCGTAAAGATACTTTTTGGAGCTACATACTGTATTTGAGAGTTGGTCGTGTTAACAGGTATGGTTTTTTGAACTTTGTTTTAAGTTTGCAAAGTTTGATTCTATGAATCAATAAAATATACAGTGAGTGAAGACTGTTGATTAAAAGAAATATAATCTAACATCACAAACAATAAATTTTCTTATTTTGGCTGAGTTGTAATATATCAGGATCTTAGTGATGATTGCAATGTGCTTTCCTGCAAAATATATTGGATTCACAATCAGATCCAGCTTGACATATATCCTGCTTTATAAATTTAGATTATTTTACTTTTTTGTCTTCATTTTTGTTGGCTACTGAGCCACTTTTCTCCAGACGTCAGTTATAACCAAGGAACCAAGGAGTTCTAGAACAAGAGGTTCACATGACAGATTCCTCAGTAACCGTAGTGATGACCATCTCTGGTGTGATGTTATGTGTTTACCCCTAGATGTATACATGCCCAGTCAATTTGCATGGCACGAAATTGTTTAAACTATTTTTAGAAATATTGTGGTGCTGTACATATTTTGTTTTCTAAAAATGAAGAAAGGTAAAAATGCATAAGTTGATGCACTTTTGTGATACAGACACCCTAAAAGTCAAAATTTTGGAGTACTGTACTGTAGGGAATTAGACACACATTTGATTTTGTGATGGCTAATGATATTTTGATCTTTACTTAAGTTGTACTGTAGTTAGATTGTAATTTGGTGGAATAATGATAGTTGATCTTCAATTGAGAAGTTGAAATAATCGTCTGGGTTATGCTGAAGCAGTCACATTCTTTTTATTGACATAAAGTATTCAGTGAACATTACTGTACAATAATCAGTTTTAGATGATTGTGCTACTTCAACCTTTAAATTGCCACTGCCATTTACGTGTTAAGAAAGTAGTTGTGCTTTTGAAGTTTTGAGTACAGTATAGTGGAGATGAATATTGTACTCTAATAACATTATAATTATGATACATAATAATATAGCGGAAGTAGGAATTTCTGTTACAAAGCATACAAATTACTGTACAGTACTTGCAAGATATTGATGAACCCCTTTCACAGCTTACCAGCTTCCACTGCTAGTTACTAGCAGCCAGGTCGTATATACTGACACAGTAGATGTATCCCATTTGTCGTCGAATTACCAATAGCTGTCCTGCCAGTCTCCTGTAATTTTCCGGCGATCGGTGTCAGTGTACAAACAAAACAACAGGTAGGTACAGTGATATCCCCGTTAGCCGGAACATTTGGTGCAGAGCACTTCTGGGAATGAGAGATTTACGGGTAACGAGACGACTCTCTCAAAGCCGGATAAAAATCCTTCATCCCCGGAATTTTCTGGGTAATGGAAAAATTATCTCGGAAGTTCCAGAAATTGCCCATTACATCATCTCTCGAACCCTGAAAAATATCCCTCATCCCCGAAATTTTCCAGGTAACGGAAAAATTTTCTTTGAATATCCAGAAAATGCACCTGTAAAGGCCTGGGACTTTGGGGATAGAAATCCCTTCCCATGCTAATCAGGATCTTAATAAAGGAAAGTCAAGGACCATGGTTTTCTGAGGAATAACAAACAACAGTTTGAGATTGACATCTCTTTACTATAAAAATATAACACAAAACTCTGACACCACTCAACAAACATCAAATAACAATTACGGGAGTCAAACAATTAAGGCCGTCAACAGTTAATGGAGTCAAACAATTAATGGAAGCACATTAAAGGGAGCGAACAATTAATGGGAGTCAGCAATTAATAGAATCAAACAATTAATGGGAGTCAACAACTGAAAGAATCAAACAATGAACAGATATTTCCTATGGCAGTGGCCCTGGGGGAAGGTTCTGGAACAGGGTGATGCACACTCAGGGTAGGGAAGCGTCCATTCAACTCCACACTCGAACGACGTCTTGAAATGGCAGGAGAACACCTGGGCACCGATGGAATGAGATGAACTGACGGTCGTGGTATGGTAGTGGTAGATGTCCAGAGAATTGAAAATCGATAGGTGAAGGTTTGGGGACACAGTCCACGAGTCCAGGACCTATGATGAGATCACAGCCAGAATTTGACGAACAGCGGGGTAGTTAGATAGTGACTGTATGGCGGCTGGGTTGAATCTGCCCCTGACCCAGATAGTCTCTGCCGTTCTCACCTCTGTCCAACCACCCCAAGTGTTGTCCTCACCAGCAAACGAGCGAGTAAGCAGCGGTAACGAGCAGGAAGATCGTTTCGGTCCTTACAGCACCTGATTTTCATCTCTCTATCCAGGAAAAAACTCCCCCATCCCAGGAATTTTTCGGGTATCGGGAAAATTTTCTCAGAATTTTCCGGAAAATCGTTCCCAAAGCCGAAATTTTCCGGAAAATTACGACTTTGGGGACGAATTTTCGAGAAAATTTCAATTCCAGCTATCGAAGAGTTCTGGGTTTGAGGAATTCCGGCTAACGGAAATATTACTGTAAATGTCCACCAGGTCACAGAAACACACTTGTGAACTGTAGTCTACTTTAATAATCACTAGAACTTTACAAAACTGTTCACAGGGTATGTTTTTACAGCTGGACTTCTCACTTTGAATATAATCAGTCAGCACATTGCCAGTGTACAATTCCTAAGTCTTTTCGCTTTATATCGCTCACAACAATTTTTCAATACTTGCACAACAATTATCTTCAGCTGTCACTAGGCTGTGCACAGGGGGGTGGTGTAATGCATCTAGTGTGGTAGCATTATGTTAGTGTTAAGGTGCAGGCATTGCTTGCTCCCTCTCACTTTCAGCTACCGCTGCTGGCTAGCCCTTGTGGCGAACAGGGAAGCAACTTGCATAAGTCTTCCCCTGCCAGTACACAGCCTCTCCACCATCAAGACTCCTGCTGTGCCTTGTGTGGCAATGCATGGTAACTGGGTGCCTCGTGGGCTAGGCTAAACCAGCAGGGGATCTCGGAGTAGCAGTCGGCCCCCGAGGGACGGCGCATAGGCCCACTGGTATGTGGACACATCCTGGCGCTACCAATCATTGCCCCGATGTCTTGCAAATTAACCTTGGGAAGTATAAGACTACGGGAGTAAACCCCAAATGAAAAATCTGCGGTTGAGCCCCGCATTAGGCAGACATGCTTACAGATTCCAACAAGACCCCAATGGCGGTATAGGAGGAAAAGGTGACCACCATGGGAACCTAACGACTACACCGGCGGATGAAGGCAATACATGATGGACAGGCTACTAAGGCAAAACCCAACAAACTGGGCTATCGACAGTCTGTTGCAACTCTCCCTTTCCCCAGTCGTTGCAACACTTGCACCACTGGATCAGGAAAAGGGAGAGCCAAGATGTGTGGTTGCAGCCTGCACTCCTGCCTCACCACATAAATCAACTCACGTGCAGCCATCATCCAGCTCATCATACCTCTCATCATCATCAAAATCCCTATACCCCCAAAATTCCTATGCCGACGGACGAGTGGCGACAGGGATAGGCAGAGATGACTGCCGGGAGTCTCTAGTCACAACTCTGCACATGGGCGGCACAGATAAGATGGTCGTTTATGCACTGGGATCTAGACAGCAGTGGAATCCGTTATCGTTCAAGGGTTTGTGGCCTCTCATTGACTACATCATTGTCAGAGAAAGAGATCGCTGAGATGTCCTCATCACCCATGCCATGTATGGCTCAGACCACTGCGACACTGATCATCAGATCGTCAGAGCCAAGCTCTCACTTCAAGTCGCCTCAAAACAGAGAAGGCAGAAAGCCTCCAGAAGAGGTTTTAACACTAAGCGTCTGGAGGATCCAGCGGTAGCACATGCTTTCAGAGAGCAGCTCGAACATGGGCTGATAAACAACCCGACAACGAACAACCCAAATCCCAGTGCCGAATGGGA